TCTGCTCCTTCTGCACCTCCTGCTCCTTCTGCTGCTCCTGCTGATGCTGCTCCTGCTGCTCCTGCTCCTGCTTCTGCTGATGCTGCTCCTTCTGCTGCTCCTGCTCCTGCTCCTGCTGATGCTGCTCCTTCTGCTGCTCCTGCTGCTCCTCCTGCTCCTCCTGCTGCTCCTCCTGCTGCTCCTGCTGCTGCTGCTCCTGCTGCTCCTGCTGCTCCTCCTGCACCTGCTGCTCCTTCTGCACCTGCTGCTGCTGCTCCTGCTGCTACTGCTCCTGCTCCTGCTCCTGCTCCTGCTCCTGCTCCTGCACCTGCTCATGCTCCTGCTCCTGCTCCTGCTCCTGCTCCTTCTGCTGCACCTGCACCTGCACCTGCACCTGCACCTGCTCCTGCTCCTTCTGCTCCTTCTGCTCCTGCTGCTCCTGCTCCTGCTGATGCTGCTCCTGCTGCTCCTCCTGCACCTGCTGATGCTGATGCTCCTTCTGCTGCTCCTGCACCTGCTGATGCTCCTGCTCCTGCTCCTCTCGTTCTTGCACCTGCTCCTGCTGATGCTCCTGCTGCTGCTCCTCGAGGGGAAGTCCTCGACTTGTCCATCCTTCTGTTCTACTGCCGATGCGGTTCAAATATCGTTGACATTATTTCCTCTTCTCGTGATCTTGATGTTTTCCTTTCTTTTATTCCTTTTGTTTTCGTTGTTTTTGTCTTTTTGGAATTCTCTGTCAAGTTCACCATTGTTCACACTACTGTGGTTCTTTTCAGCTCGTCCTCCTCCATTCATTCTGTGGACATCATGATCTCGACGTAGCCTGAAGAGAACAGGAAGCATGGCGCCAGCATGCAAGGCCTCCGTCACGTTCGGCCTGATGTCTGCTGTCATCCTCCTCGTGTACTTGAAGACGTTGCCACCAACGGTGCGATTGCACGTGACAAGGCGGCATGAATAAGTCATGATCCAACTACTGCAGATCGTTGGAGGAGACTCGGGCGACATCGTTGTGAGCGCGTGGAAGCTCAGCGTTCCTCACCCTCCAGGTGCTGAGACGGAGGGACGGGGAGAGGAAGGGAGGGAAGTCAACTGTTGCAGGCTACCCGACCATCACGATGATCGGCCACGTCTTCATGCACTACCTCCTACCGTGAGCTTGCTCGGCTCATCGCAACGGCAGCATGTCATGCTCTCTGCAGGTTCGGCGAGCCAGCATGGCGCATGGGAGTGCTTAACGCCATCTTCGCCGCGTCCTCCTCGCTGCTGCTGGGCCTCACGGCATTTGAGCTGTGGGATGACACCTTGAGTGCGGCGACGGCAACGATCCTCTACTCCTTCTCTCCTCTCGTCTGGCAGTACGCGACTACCCCCGAGGTTCTCCCTCCTCCTCCTCCTCCTCCCTCCTCCTCCTCCGCATCCTTAGGCTTCAGCCAGGTGTTTGCGCTGAACAATCTCTTCGTTGCTCTCCTTGTTGCCATCTACGTCAAAGTCTTGACTGCTGCCGACAAGCACGCGGGTTCTGCTCCTCCTCTGCTTCTTTCCATCACCTTCTCATGCATCCCCAGCTCTTCGCTGGACGCGCCTAGGCGTCCTTTGTGGTGGAATCGCGCTGGGCAACCAGCACACGATCGTGATTCTGCTAGTTCCCATCGCGCTTGACGTGGGAGGAGCAGAGGAGGAGGAGGCTACTGCTAAGACAACCGGCAGGTTCTGCTCACTCTCAGACTCGGTCAGTCTGCTTGTGAGCTGCTGCTGTGGACAGGTGACGAGAGTCGATGCTGCTGTCACTATCTGACACCTCCAACACTTCCAGCTCTCATCCTGCTGGGACTCTCGCAGTATCTCCTCCTCGCCCTCCTCAGTGCCGCACATGGGGATGAGATGTGAGGAAGAGCGCGATCCGCTCCTGCTGACCTGCGACTTGACAGCTACAGCTGGGGAGATGTCACCACAGCTGGGGGCCTGCTCAGACATCTCCTGCGAACTGAGTACGGAACGTTCGACCTTATTTCAGGGGTTGATCGCAGCTTGTCCTCGGCCCTCACCAGCCTCCTCCTCTACCTCCTCACGGTCTCTTCCTGTTCCTCCTGCTCCTCGTGTGCCTCCTCCTCCTCTCTCCTCACCTTAACTGCAGCTCTCCCGCGAGTCCTCTCATCTCGCCATCCCCTCTCTCTTGCTGTCCTGCTGGTTCGCTGGCTCGTCCGCTGCTGGAAGAGACCGCAAGCGCGTCATCGTCTCTCGCCGCCTCCTCCTGCTATGGGCCGCATATGTCGGTCGGTCTTGTTCCCAACCCCCGCCCTTGCCAGTCCTCCTGCCTCCTCACGTCTCGTTTCTCCGCTTCTCCCTCCTCATGACTCGCTCAGGCTTCTTCCACTGGAGGAGCAACCTTCCTCTCCATCACCCCCTGTAACTGCTGCAACTCTCTCAACCTCGCTCATCGCCGGCGCAGCTACCGAGGAGTCTTGAAGCGATTTCACTTACAGGTGATGAGGATGAGCGGAGGGAGGGAAAATAGAAGGAGGAGGAGGGAGATAGGAGTGAGCGGAGAGGAGGTGCGGGGCTGATATGATCAGTCAGCCGAACTACCTTGTCTTCGTCCTCATCGCGCATCTGCTGGCGAAGGTCTGCAGGAATGCGATGAGAATTGCTGGAGGCAGGAAGGAAGAGGAGGAGAAGGAGAACAAGAAAGCGAAGCTGGACATGCAGCTTCCTCTAAGCGTTGCCGTCGTCGTGATAGTCACAAGCCTGCAGGTAAGCAGCACATTAGAACGTGAGGGAGGAGGGAGGGGGCAGGGGGGGAGGGTAGGCGGGAGGGAGGAACTTGTCTCGAAATCCTGACGAGCAACTCAGCTGATGTCTGGGTGGAAAAATCGCGATCAGAGTGACAACTTTGCCATCAAGACGTTTGCTATGAGCTTGCTGCATGTGACCCTCCCTCCCTCCCTCCCTCTTCCCTCCCCTTCGCTCCCTCCCTCCTCCTCTATTCCTCCTCCTCCCT